CCACCGTCCCGCCGCGGTCGGCTCAGCCCTCTCCACGAAGTCTGGCTGCAGACCGGACTCGTGTCGCTGACTGCACCGTTGCCTCTTCCGTCGAAGGGAGGAGGACCGAGGCCTGCGCCAGCAGCTCCCTGGCGGTGGTCGGGCTGTCCCCCTTCGGGGTTCTCCCTCCTTGTCTCCCTCCCTTTCCGCCCCGCCAAATTCCCGCAAGCTCGGTCCTCCTTGGTCACCCCAGGGGCTTCTAATCACTCGGTATCGATTTCCCTAACTCTTTTCATCCCGTTGAAGACACATCTTAAAACACTCCAGCCGGAGTGTGCTCTGGGCTTTATCCACACTAATAAAATGATTTACCCTGCTCTCTGCGCTCTCCTCACAGAGGAAAATCGTTCGAGCCTCGGCTATTTGTGTGTGATCAGTAAATATTTAGTGCGGTGACATCCTCAGCTAGGCTTCGGATCGATGCGGGGCCCACCGGGAGGTGTGCGCGCTCCACCGAGGGGACTCCTGATGTCCTGGCCACCGGTCGCTGATTTACCGCCAAGGGCAGGCACCGGGGGATGGTAGGGGTAGCAATGCGCTCCTGGACAATTGCCTTTTCAACCTTTTTTATTTTTGACATTCAGCCACTTGCCGAGGATCCCACTGTATCCCCCACTCCTTCCCCTTGCGCCCCGAGAGCCTTTCCAGAGGCCAGGCGATGCACCCGCGTCCCCGTGGCCCGGGACCACCTATCAGAGCCCTGCATCACCACGCAGGGAGGCCCCAGCCCCTGCTCTGGGGGTCGTCCCCTTGGGGCACTAGGCTCTGCGCCCGTTCACGCCTCTCTGGGTCGAAAGGGGGTGGAGGAGCCCAGAGCTGCAGTAGCGGATAGGGACCCGCTCCCTTGCTACTCTTTCCGCAACCCTCGGCCTTTCTGCTCCTCTGACATCCGTGTCCCTGTCGCCTGTCGGGCCGTCGAGCCGCAGGGCGTCGGGTGGGAACTTTACGTTCCTTGCCAGCAGACCTCCCTTTTTCCGTGGGGGAAAAAAGGCACTTATCTGAGAAGTGTTGAGAAGGGGGCCTGCTTTTGGATATCAGAGGGCTGTGGTAGCCGCAGAGACCCGTGTCAGCGCCTCTCCCAGGCGTGAGCACACTATTTCATGATTACACAGCCTCACCTTAACACTGGGACCCTAGGAAGTGGGCTGAGGCAGAATTGGGCACTGCAGGGACTCGCTGTGTCCCAAGATTCCAGCCACCTCTGACTGCTAAGTTAACGGAGTTGAGGCATATAAGGACCAGGCAGCCCACTCCTCCGAGAGCCACCGCTCCTGGGCCGGGGTTCGGACTTGAAAGCCTTCAAGGCCGCCAGCCACCTGTTGTTTGCTGGCCTGCCTTCCTCTCACCTGGGGCCTGGGCCTTGGCAATTCCCCTGGGACCCTGAATAGGAAGGTGCTGCGACCTGGCTGTGTCCACGCACCCCTCCCAGACCCCAGCGCTCTCGCCTTTGTCGTCCCCATGGTTTTTTAAACCGCCTTATCTTAAGACTCTATCTTTATACTAATGCATACTTAATTGGTCCGTCTTGACTGTCCATATAAAACAATTTAATTAGGGTGCTTTCTTGCTTTGGAGAGCAAAGAGAAAAAAATCTGCCCGATGCTTATTGTATTTAGCACCAATACAGGCAGAAAATGTAGCACAAGTTTTTGGTTGAAAGAGCACCTCTGTGCCCATTGAAGAGCGTTGATCCGAAAAGACAGAAAGGACAAGTAAAATCGATTGGAAGCGACCCTCTCTGTCCCTTTCACACCATTCAGAAACTCCATTCCTTCTAAGACAAAGACCAGCGCCTTGGGAATTCTCAGGGAAAAAGAGGACTCCAGCCTCATAAGCCTAGGGCACTTTTTAAAACATCTTCAGTATTCCAGTTTAAACCTACGCTTGGTGCTGGACCCCCACATGCGGTTTCAGGGGTGCCCACTCTGAAGACTCAGGCAGTTCGGCTAACACTCCCCCACGTCTGTGCCTGCTTGGCCTTATGGTCACCGCAGGCTGGCCTTTTAGGGTTAGTGCATCTAACCTAAAGGTGAGAACCTTTGACCCCGCCCCCCCAAGACTGGAGTGGCTGCCAGTGTTCTAAATTTGGCCAAAGTTGAAAGAAAATGAAAAAAAAAAATTACTCCAAGACCCAGGAAAACCAGTTCTGGTTCAGCATCCTGGGCCACCTTACCCAATAGCCACCTCCATCCCCAACTTTTTTTCCCCCCTCTGGCATTGAACTGCCCTAGCCACTGCTAAAGTGGTCAGGGCTGCATCTCTGGGTGGCCGTGAGTTGCCAGGTCTAACTGGTCTTCCATTAGGTTATCCCTGGCGCCCAGGCTGGGGAAGGTGGTCATCGATCAGACCTGGTACAAAAAGAAAAGAAAAAAAAAGAAAGAGGGAGAGGAGAGACGAGTGCAAGAGAGGGGGAGGAGAGAGAGACAGAGCTGTGATCACCTTCACCTGCCCTGACGCCCTGAGCTCGACCTCCCTATTCAAGATCCCAGGACCTTCAGCTAGGGTTGTAGGGGGCGGGGAGAATGGGAGGGGGCACCCTGAGTTACACACGTGGCCTCCTTCTAAGAGACCCAGTTCAGCTCTCCCCAGGAGGAGTCCCACCAGCCATCCACTCAGAGTAACTGATGAGGCAAACCGCAAAGAAAAACTTCTGTAGCCCATATTTATGGTATTAATGAATAGTTAAAAAAAGATTTACACTTCTTATGATCAATATTCTGAGTTATTTCCCTCAAAGTATATAATTACAGTGTCTTCAGAGTTTCATCATTGTTTGAGGTGGCAAAACCATTTGTAATTTTCATTAGCCAGTAAACATGTAATTAACATTCAGCACTGTGTTTAACTTAATTCCTATTTAAGACAAGGACAAGAAGCAACGAAGAGTGTTAGTTCCATTTGTCAAGTCTGACATACATCTTACCATAACAGTTTCCTAAAATAAAAGATCCGTGTTTCCCCATTATTCTTCTCTTAAAACAAAACAACAACAAAAAATCCATTAGTTAAAACTGTATTAAACTGCAATAGGCAGCACAATCCACTTTCAATTTTTTGCTAGTTATTGTATTCCTGCTTCCTGTATTCGTTTGGGGTGGTTGATACAGGGAGGGGGTGAATTAAGTATTCATTATGTGAAGGCATGAAATGGGGAACCCCTCCCCCCAAAGAAATAGATTTCCTGTTCAAGAAAGTTCTAGAATGAACACTAGAAAAAGGGGAGGGAGGCACTCATTCGCAAGGGGAGAGGGGGAAAATCACTTGGGGGGGGCACTTGAGTTAAGAGTAGAAAATGAGAATTCCAATTGATTCCTAGGAAAAATATTGGCCTCCTGTTTCAAGTTCTATCTTTGATCCAGGGTGAGGGGACCCTGCCTGCCAGTCTCCTAGGCTGCAGCTTTTCCCCTCCTCTCCCACCTCTGTTTTTTTTCCAACTTGCTTTAGGATTAGCCTCCATCCCTCTCGACCCCAAACACTGGAATTTGGCTGTGCCTTGGGTTGTCTTGCTTTGCAATATCCCCTATAGTTGTTGGCGGTTTTCTGCTGAGGGTGAGCCGGTTGCTCCAGCCTCCGACTAAACTCATTAAGTTGGAAGATTTTTTTTTTTTTTCAATTGGAAGGGTGTTTTTAAAGTCTCCTCTTTCCAGCCCCAAACAAGGTGTAACAACGCACTCTTCCTTCTAAGGAATCAGATGAGAGACAAGGATCACTCCAGACATCTCCTACCTACGGTTTGGGGTTTTTTTCTTAAAGGCGAGGCTTGCATTCCTCAGCAGCTATGTACAAAGCTCCCTGAAGCCGTGTCTCTCTAAAGTTAGTGTGCAGGCTTTTCCAAAGGCTGAGCGCGCCTAGTACACCGGGAAGCACTTCCGTGAGGTGGAAGCTCTCTCCCTTCACCTTTCCTCTTTTTTCCCTGCAGACTAATGCCTACTTTTTTATCAGTTTGCACAATCGCTTAGATAAACACCGAGGAGGAGAGTCTCTTTAATTATCAAAGACACATCTTTTCAGGGGGCCAACAAAGCGTTTATTTCACCCGCCAAACTAAAGGAGAGTTATTACAGTTGAGGAGGAAGATGCAAGCTGTTTGGGACCTTGAACAAGGCAAATATGGTTTTGGTATGTTTACTTACAGTATTTTTTTTTTCTCTTTCTCTCCTTTCTCACTTTTCTCCTTGTGCTGTGTGGGGTTGGGGATGACTTGGGGCTTTTCAGAAAATCGGTTTGCTAACGTGTATGAAATGCCTAGGACTGTGGTTGAAGGGGTTTGGGGAAGGGGGGACAGTCAATTCCGTGCGTTGCCATATTTTATTACATGTGTGTGGTAGCAGAGGTGGGAGAGGGGGGAGAGGGGGAAAATGCAATTGCAAAGCTGCCAAAATATGATTAAACCGAAGCATAAAGACTGCGGGTGCCTCCCATCTCCCGTCCTGTCTCCTCAAACTCATTTCCTTCCATAGAGCTGACTGCAAACCAGTTCTAAGAAGCCTGATTTTCCAAGCAGCAGACGACTGGCTGGGTTTGCTAGCAAAGGGGCTGCTAGGCTTGCACTAGGTATCAGAATTTCCTGTTCCATCTGCCTCTGCGCTTCATTTTGCAACCTTGTGCAGCTGACAGCCAGGCAGGCAGGCAGGCAGGGACCAAAGCCTCGCCCGGCTCCCTCGGCCGCGGTTCCGGAAGGCGAGCACTCGGTTAAGCTAGGAAAATCACAAGGAGAAGGGTACTCACCATCGGGCGGGGTGGTGGAGCTGGCGTGCAGATTTCAGGCAAACCTTTACCTTTTGGCTGTCTATTGCAACCGCGCCGGGCTGACTTAAGAAGCAATTCTGTGCAAAATGTTCAAGGACGGTTCCTCATTTTTTAAAAAGCCAGCGAGAGAGACGGCAGAGACAGAAAGAAAAAAGAGAGGAGGGGGTGAGGGGGACGCACATAAACCCAGTTCAAAAAAAAAAAAAAATCACCTCTTCATCAGACACTCGGGAAACGTAGAGACGGCGAGATCCGAGAACAGTCCAACCAAGCCAGAGTCAATTAATTATAAATCCTGGAGAATTATTCAGATTAAAATGTACAGAAGTTTCATTCTCCTATGCCTACGTGAGCCCAAAGTCGTTTCCCTTTAAGAGCTTCTTTTCTTTTAAAGTTGGATTTTAGGCAGCGAGATCTCTTACACTAGGGGGCAGACAGATACTGTACTTGCTCCAATCTTAAGCAATTTTTTTTCCTCCCAGCATATGCTCTGATTTAGCACTGTAAATTTTTCAGAGGACCCAACTCTGACAGCCCCTGGTGATTTTCAAAGTACCACAAGCCAGTGGTTAAAAATTGCATTGACTTGGAAGTTCAGAGGGACACAATGGAAGCCCCTTCCCTATTCACGGAGCTCCAGTGTGGTGGAAGAGAAAAACACACACGACTAGATTGAGGGAAAGGAGGAATTCAATGAATCCTGAATTCTACTGAGCTCAGAGTTAAACTCGGCATTTGCTGGGGTCTGTATTCATATTGTGATTTAATCTGTAAAGAATTACAGATGAGCCAGCCACTTTCTGCAAGGAAATCATATCCTGGAAATTGGGGGCTTTTTTTTTTCATTTTCCAAATTAAGATAAATGTTTTTCCTCAACTTTGACCAGTCAAATTAAAGCTTGCCACTACTGTCATTAAAATAAATTTACATTTGCACTAAAAGGCTTGGCTTACTCTTTAAATAAAATAATACATTGATATTCATCTTTTGGTGAAGGGGTGTTTTAGAGTTAAGACAACTGAGCATTTTTGGAAAAGGATATTAAAAATTTTTTGCCTTTTTAATTCTCAGTCTGGCTTTCCCGTCTCATCGTCCATCCAGTAAAATTAACTATAGTTCATATGATGATTTTACTTCCCCTTCTAAACAGCATTTCTATGGCTAAATGAATCCTAAAATGCAGTGAAGCTTCCCTAACATG